TATGGAATATGATGCAGCGTCCCTATTGGTGGCTGAGTTGCCGTGTATGAAATAAGATGCGGCGTCCTATTGGTGGCTGAGTTGCCGTGTATGGAATAAGATGCGTCTATTGGTGGCTGAGTTGCCGTGTATGAAATAAAATGCGGCGTCCCTATTGGTGGCTGAGTTATGATGTATGAAATAGATCGGCGTCCTATTGATGGCTGAATTTGCCGTGTATGGAATAAGATCGGCGTCCCTATTAGTGGCTGAAGAGGTTACCGTGTATGAAATAAAAGGTCTGGCGTCCTATTGGTGGCTGAGTTACCGTTATATGAAATAGATCACGGCGTCCTATTGGTGGCTGAGTTGCGGTATGAAATAAGATGCAGCGTCCTATTGGTGGCTGATTTGCGGGTATGGAATAGAACCGGCGTCCTATTGAGTGGCTGAGTTGCCGTGTATGAAATAAAGGCCAGCGTCCTATTTGAGTGGCTGAGTTGCCGTGTATGAAATAAGACCCGGCGTCCTATTAATTAGCTAATGAGTTGCCGTGTAGTAGATGGCACGTCCCTATTGATGGCTGGCGGTGCGTATGAAATAAGATGCAGCGTCTATTGGTGGCTGAGTTGCCGTGTATGGAATAAGATGCAGCGTCCTATTGGTGGCTGAGTTGCCGATGTATGAAATAAGATCGTCCTATTAGTGGCTAACAGGTTGCCTGTTATGGAAAAGTCTCTTATTGGCTGGATTGGGTTGTGTCAGGTTTTTGGAATTATGCATTTTGGTTCAGCGGCTTTGCTTATTTCTGTTGCGGGTAATTATTTGATCTTACCCCCCCCTCCTCCCAGTTGACAAGACCAGCCACACAATATAGCTGTAGTGCTGCCATCTGGGAAATATTGCCCGGCTATTCCCTCGGTGAAAGAGTTGCCGGCAAGGTAATAAGGTATTGCAGTTCTGTCTCTCGCCGAGTTGCTCAAAATGGAATAAATTATGATGTTGTTCCATTGGTGATAAAGTTACCAAACACGAAATAATGGACATTACTGCTCACTTGAGTTACCAGGGGTAGAATATTGTGGCGTTGGTTTCTTTTGGTGAGTTACCGAGTACCAAATATAACCTTATTTTATTGGTGGCTGAGTTACCTAGTAGGGAATATAACACATTATTATACTATTGGTGGCTGAGTTACTTAGTATTTTGGGCAGGTATTCGTTTAGAAACTTTTGAGTTGCGGAATATAAAAATAAAATCTTTTATTTCGCAACAGTTGAGGTGCCAAGTGCGCAATAAACCGCGTTAATCCCTTAGTGTTTGAGTTGGCGAACATAGCGTAAAGCGCATTATTTCATTGGTGATTGAGTCGCCAGGGAGGGAATAAAACGAATAATCTCTCAGGGGTTCAGTACGCGCGCCGTGAGATGACAATCAATGTATTCTGTGTTCCCCTTTGTTGATGTGGCTCAGAGGTGATATTATTGTTTCTCCTGAGGGCTGTGTGAGGCGGGGGAGACGAGGAGAGGGAGAGGTAAGGAAGGACGGAGAGAGAGAGGGAGGTAAGGTTGTTTGGAGACTAGGAGAGAGACGGGGAGGAGGTTGTTGGAGACTAGGAGAGAGAGGGAGGTTGTTTGGAGAGAGGAGAGAGAGGGGAGAGTAAGGAAGCGACGGAGAGAGAGAGGAAAGGTTGTTTGGAGACTAGGAGAGAGAGGGGGAGGTAAGGAAGGTTGGAGAAAGAGAGATTGAGTGAGTGTTTCATTTACTCTCTTGCTGTTTATATTGACTGGTAACTGTTAGACGACCACCAGCTGTATATTGACTGTTAGTACCCCTCCACCAGCTGTATGTTGACTGGTGACTGTTAGACGACCACCAGCTGTATGTTGACTGGTGACTGTTAGACGACCACCAGCTGTCGTAGAATGGTGACGCCTCAGATGGCTGGCTATACATCGCCAGCTGGGAGTGAGTTGGGTGATATGATTTCCCTAGTGATGTTAGGTCGACACGCTTCTCAGTCCAGTTGCCTCTCACGTGTGACGCTCCACTGGTTCCTGTGTTGTGTTGTGTGTTGCTTTTTGCTTGTAATGTCTTGTTATTTTGTGTTGCGGTAAGTTTGTTTTTGTTGTAGTATTATCGTGTGTTGTGTTGTGTTGTATTGTGTTTTCCTCTGCCTATTGAGCATCCACCCAACTTGTTAATTTCATCCTTTTATTACCCGCAGAAGAACAGTTTGTGTATATTCAAAAGTTTACGTGAAATGGAATACAAAATCACATCTCCTGTGTGAGGTGTTAGGTGAGGGAAGGACTTAGCTCAGTGAAGTATAAACAACATTTTTATTATACTTTTATTTTGTGGTGGAATGGAAAGTTGTTGTCATAGGCCATTCTAGTTACTGGAGACGGTACACACAAGGAGGCACTGCACTCAACTGTCTTCATTTCCCCAACAGTAACGTCAGGTACTCTTTATTTATTGGTGTGTCGACTTGAGGTATATCCCGGGATCAAACCAACGACCACCATTGTCGAATGAGCGTCTGGCGAAGCTTCCATCAGCGTGATAAGTCTGTACAGTGTACATAACATAGACAGCTCCATCACAACAAAAGGAAACCTCTGTCGTCTCCCATGTGCGTTTGGAGAGGTGACGCCAGACGAACGTTCAGTTCCCCAAAATTCCACCACCGGCAATCAACAGTGCCAGACGGTCTCCCTCCGCTATACAATGGTCCGCGTATAAACAGCTTAAGCCAGACGAACTTTCGCCCGCCTCCTTCCAACAGTGGCACTCGTTTTACGTCACTGAGCATTAATCTCAGAGGTAATTCATTGCTAATGATATACTTAAGCAAACAAGCGAAGAGTGTGTTGGTTGAACTAACATCCACACTGTCTACTGCAAACACTGTGTTTACTGCCAGTGTTGACATAGATTACTGAGTTACGGCCCCCTCCCCCCTCTCCCTCTCCACCCTCTCTCCCCTCTCTCCTTCCCCCTTCCTCTCCCCCTCTGTCTCCTGTTCTGTTTTCTTTTTCTCTTATTTATCGTTTTTCCTCTCTCTCTCTCTGTCATTTATCTTTTAACACCAAAATGTAAATTAACATATAAAACAAACCTTCTCTTCATTGTTTTTCCTTCATTATTCAGTTTTAACAAGTGGTCGTTGGCATAAAAGCTGCCTCGGTAATTAACATAGTTTTCTCTGTTTGTATTGGTATAATTGTTTTGGCTTAATTGAACTATAATTAACAATTTTAACATTAACCTGAATGTGAAATTTGGTGAGGAAAAAATAAATTGGTGAAAATAGTTAAATTCCGAGGTCAGTGTACAGTCACTTAACTGTTCCGGGAAGGTTTTGACGTCATTACCTGGACAACGGGAGAGATCTGACGTCACTATCTGTATGTGTTGTAAGTTTTTGTAAGGGATTAATAGACTATCTTTCCTAGTAGACTATCTCCCCTGGTAGACTATCTCCCCTAGTAGACTATCTCCCCTGGTAGACTATCTCCCCTAGTAGACTATCTCCCCTGGTAGACTATCTCCCCTGGTAGACTATCTCCCCTGGTAGACTATCTCCCCTAGTAGACTATCTCCCCTGGTAGACTATCTCCCCGAGTAGACTATCTCCCTAGTAGACTATCTCCCCTATCATATCTCTAGTAGACTATCTCCCCGAGTAGACTATCTCCCTGGTAGACTATCTCCCTAGTAGACTATCTCCCCGGTAGACTATCTCCCCTAGTAGACTATCTCCCACTATCTCCCTAGTAGACTATCTCCGAGACTATCTCCCTAGTCTCCCTGTAGACTATCTCCCTCTAGACTAGTTAGACTATCTCCTCTCCCGAGTAGACTATCTCCCTATCTCCAGAGAGTAGACCATCTCCCTGGACTATCTCCTGACCATCTCCCCTGGTAGACTATCTCCCTAGACTATCTCCCCAGTAGACTATCTCCCCAGTAGACTATCTCCCTATAGACTATCTCCTGTAGACTATCTCCCTAGTAGACTAGACTATCTCTAGTAAACTATCTCCTAGTAGACTATCTCCCTAGTAGACTATCCCCTGGTAGACCATCTCCCCAGTAGACTATCTCCCTGGTAGACTATCTCCCTAGTAGAGACTGTCTCCCTACTATAGACTATCTCCTAGTACTATCCTGTAGATCTCTATCTATGGTTAGTAGACTAGACTATCTCCCTGGTCTCCTGGTAGATCTCTATCTCCCTGGTAGACTATCTCCTGGTAAAGACTAGACCTATCCCTGGTCTATCTCCTGGTAGACTATCTCCCCTGGTAGACTATCTCCCCTGGTAGACTATCTCCCCCAATGATACGAAGATGTTGGGGATCATAGCATTAGGTTAGGTTTTGTGGTGTGCGAAAGAGAGGAATGATAAATGTGGCTGTTTGAGGGGAAGTGAAAGCTTAAGCCAGGGAAGATCACCATCAAGGGGAGGGGAGACTCGAGACAAGGGTGCGGGGAGATTAGGGTGGGAGATGGGGAGATTAGAGTGGGTGGTGGGGAGATTAGGGTGGGAGGTGGGGAGATTAGAGTGGATGAAGGATGGTGGGGAGATTAGAGTCGGGGGTGGAGAGATTAGGGTGGGAGATGGCTAGATCAGAGTGGATGATGGGAGATCAGGGTGGATGGAGAGAGCTGGGGAGATTAGACGAGGTGAAAACACATATATTTCTCCCCCCCCCCTCAGCTGGGGTTGGGGAGGGGGGTCGAGGATGACTTGTTAGCCTCGGTGACGTGTCTTCTGTTCCTTGGGTATTGTTTGATCACCTGGTCAATTAGGTTATGACGTCTTTACCTGGTCAGTGGAGGTATGATGTCACTGTGTCACCATTGGGGGGGGGGATGAAGTCAGCAACCTGTCATAGAGGGGTGAGGAGGTATGTAAGGTATATCGTCACTAATTGGCCAGGTAAGGTGGGGGAGATGAGAAAAGACGATGTTATTCTTCATCTTCGTCATTGTTATTAATGTTATTGCAGAATCCGTCATCTTCACTACCGCTGCTGTCAACCCCTATACAGTGCCGCTCCAGCCAACCCCTACAGTGCCGCTCCAGCCAACCCCTATACAGTGCCGCTCCAGCCAACCCCTATACAGTGCCGCTTCTGTCGTCACTGCTACCGCTGCCACCCCCTCTCACGTCACTGCACTAAGAGGTAAGACTCGAGCTGGTTGTCTTTAAACCTGACCCCAAAACACTTATTAATGGTGTATGTTGCTGCCCAATAGTTCTGCATTACCTCAATTGTGTCTCACCCTCCCTCTTTCCCTTCCCTCCCCTCCTCTTCTCGTCTTTCCCTCTTCCTCTCTCTCTCTCCCCCCCCTTCCTCTCACTCTCCCCCTTCCGCTCTTAGTCTCCCCATCCCGTCCTTTTCCACCCTCCCTCCCTTAACCTAACACACTCTCCCTCTCCGAAACTTTGTATGTTTACTAACTCAGTGTTACATAGTGTTAAGGATTTCGTCTTTAGTGTTGAATGATACTACAGTGCCATCATATAATATCACAGAGCTAACACAGAGGGCGGGATGGTAAGGCAGAGCCGCTAGATATAACTGCAAATACACCAAAATATTCCTCACAAGAGATTCACGAGAGCTGGCTGCTAATTTAGGGTAAAAAATAATTCCCTAGACTTGTCATGGGGGGGAAAAGGGCAGAAATTCCGGTGATTTACGGGGGTGAATATTTTCTTGTACGGGTGACAAGGATATATGGTTCTCTTGGTGAAAAAAGGGCATATGTCTCTCCATTATAAATGTCTTTTTGGCCCTTTGTTGCACTGGGGCCGTCGTGTGTCTTGAAGTAGCGAGGATTGGAGGGGGGTGTGGGGGGTGGGGAGGTTCTGGGGTTCTTGGTCCCTAGGGAGGAAGTCTGGGGGAGAATTTTTAAGTAGGGAATATAGTAACTTCTCTCTCACCCCTCTGTACTGCCTTGGTTTGTCTTCACCCCTTGAGTGTCGCGGTAACCCCCTCTAGTGAATTAACCCGAGTGAGTAAGACAACTTAACTCCTTTATTATGAAGATTTAACCCCTTGATTATGAAGATTTAACCCTTTGATTACGAAGAATTAACCCCTTGATTACGAAGATTTAACCCCTTGATTACGAAGATTTAACCCCTTGATTACGAAGATTTAACCCTTTGATTACGAAGATTTAACCCCTTGATTACGAAGAATTAACCCCTTGATTACGAAGATTTAACCCCTTGATTACGAAGATTTAACCCCTTGATTAATTACGAAGAATTAACCCCTTGATTACGAAGAATTAACCCCTTGATTACGAAGATTTAACCCTTTGATTAAAGAGGTTAAAAAAATGCAAGAATATATTTTCCAACAACAACAACAACAACAATAGAGATACACAGAGGATAACACAACCCGGAAACAGACAGGAAACAAAAGAAGAACAAAAAAAGGGGTCGCAATTTGGAGGTGCAAAAAAGGGTAAAAGCAACAGTGGTCGACTTGATGATAACCTGCCCTGTTTATGTGTGTGTGTGTGTGTGTGTGTGTGTGTGTGTGTGTGTGTGTGTGTGTGTGTGTGTGTGTGTGTGTGTGTGTGTGTGTTGTCTCTGTGTGTTTGTCTCTGTGGGTTTGTCTGTGTGTGTGTGTGTGTGTGTGTGTGTGTGTGTGTGTGTGTGTGTCTGTGTGTGTGTGTTGATGTTGGTGTGGAATGTTGTGTTGTCAGTTGTAGAATGTCCCCAAGTCCTTCCCCAGTATTCCCCTAAAAGTTTTCCCTAACATAACCCTAAATCGCTTGAAATCCATCGGAAACGGTCTCTCACTGGCCTCATGATAACACACCCGTTTTAAAATGTTAACAAATTCGAGTCTTATACTTTTAAAAAACATGATTATTATTATTTTTTTCGTGTTGGTTTGGCGTTAAAAATCTAATGACACAAAGGACGTGATGCGTTTATTTAAATGTTTGTCAGGAGTAAGAGAAGAGGTGTTGGTGTAAAGCCTTTAACACACACACACCACTGGTTTATGATGTTGGTTTGTTTAGGTCAGGTTTGGTTTGGTTTTGGTTTAGGTTAGGTTTATTTAGGCTATTTTCCTGATTTCTAAGGATTTTTGTAGATATTTTTTTTTTTTAGGATTTTTCGATTTTAAAAGTTGTTTTATTTTTCCGAAGCCAGTTTGACCAGATAGTGGGTGAACCGTCCGCTTGTTGTGTTGTATACATTGCTATTGTTGTTTCATCTGTACTGTGTGTATGTGTGTGCTGGTATATTTTGTATTTATATTGTATCTGTCCCCCAATACTCTTGAATCTAAACTGTATTTTCTTGTTGTTTGTTGAATAATATGATTTATTTGTATATTAAGCATCACATATTTATATAACACTCGGCATTTATCTGAGTGTATATCTTGTCTCTGTATAATATCTATATTTACTTAACGTCAGAGGTAATAATGAAATAACTCTCTGTATGTTTGTATGTCTTAATAATTTTGGTATCCGGACTGTATTTCAACTGCCCACATATTAGAGAGGTCACATAAGGTTCAAAGGTCAAAGGTCAATGTCACTGATCTGAAGAAATTCTGTTTTATGAGTTTTAACCTGAATTTCCCTGCAACGGTGACCAGGATATCGTATAAATTCCCTAAGTTCCCCGTCCCGAGGGAGAAAAACAGGTCCCTTACTATATATGGGTCATGTATGGGTCGTACTATATCCCGTTTATGTTTCTGTTGATTATAATATGTGCGGGTTAATTCACCGATTATCTCTGTTTAACTCGACTTATACAAATGAATAAATAAGTAAATATAGGTAAAAATAAGTAAATATATGAAAATAATAAGTAAATATGTGAACAAATTAAGTAAATATATAGGTATAAATATAAAAAATAAATAAAAATAAATAAAATAAAAATAAAGTAATTATCTGAATAAATAAATAGATAAACAAGTAAACAAAATAGTTAAACAAGTAAATAGATAAACAAGTAAATAAAATAGATAAACAAATAAATAAAATATATAAACAAGTAAATAAACAAAGACACGGGTGATTTAAGGTAGCCTACTTCTATAACCTGACGATAATTTGCATAAATAAGAAGACTAAAAATTTCTCGTTGATGCCGACAGCTGGAGTCGACGTGTCCTGAGCACCTCTTTTACTCTCTCTCTCTTTCTCTCTCTCTTTCTCTCTCACTCTCTCTTTCTTTCTTTCTTTTCTCTTTGTTTCTTTCTCTTTTTCGTTGTGTTTTTGTCGCTTTCGTTCTTTTTTGTTTTTATGTTTTATCTTTTTTACTCTCGGTCTTTCTTTATTTCTTTCTTTCTTTCTTTCTTTCTTTCTTTCTTTCTTTCTTACTTACTTTCTTTCTTTCCCTCTCTATAACAGATGTGTCCTCAAGTGCCTCATCCTTTGTGGCTGAGTGGGTGACCATCATCTGGTGTAATGTGAGAACGTGGGGTCGATTCCTGGAATTGGTGAAAGGAGGGAGGGAGAGAGAGAGAGAGAGAGAGAGAGAGAGAGAGAGAGAGAGAGAGAGAGAGAGAGAGAGAGAGAGAGAATGAATTATGAAGGAAAGGAGGATAATGAGACGGCCTTGTGGAGGGGGGTGAGAGGGAAGGGTTGTGAGAGGGAGGCGAGGGGAATGGAGGATGTTTAGAGGAGAGGAACAGAGGGGATTGTCTGGGGAAGAAAGGAGAGGGAATAGAGGGGGCTGAGAAGGATTTGAGAGGAAGGGAAGGAAGGAGAGGGAGGAAGAGGAAGGAGAGGGGAGGGAAGAAGAGAGAGAGAGAGAGAGAGAGAGAGAGAGAGAGAGAGAGAGAGAGAGAGAGAGAGAGAGAGAGAGAGAGAGAGGGTGGGGACAAAGGAGAAAGGATGAAAGATGAAGAAGAGAGAGAGGGGGTCAGGTAAGAGAAGAGAAAAGAAAAAAAATTATGAATGAAAATAAGAAAGAAAAATGGTCAACAATGAAGAGAAGAGGAGAGAGTGGGCCCAAGTAAAAGAGAGAAAGAGGGAGAGAGGAAGAGGAGTGGGAGAGGAAGAGGGGAAAGTGTCGATAATTATCTACCACAGTAACAATGTGAAATGGAGATGAACAAGAGAGAGAGAGAGAGAGAGAGAGAGAGAGAGAGAGAGAGAGAGAGAGAGAGAGAGAGTCTGTGGTCTTAGAAAATTTATACCAGAATCAGGGATAACGATACCACAAGAGGTAACAGTAAAGCAGCACCAGTAGACGAGGCTGTTCGTTGTGATCACCATAACACGTTGCTGACCAGGGTGTGTGTGTGTGTTAGTAGACTCCTGCCCCTCTTTTCCCCCTGCCCCCACACCCCTTCCTTTCCCCCTGCCCCCACACCCTCCCCCTCCTTCCCCCACACCCAGGCACTAGAAAACACTCACATCTTCAGGTTTGTTCTCAGACAGCATGAGGAGGTCTTCCATGGTGAAACTGACAAGAGGAAATTACTTGTCGAGTTTTTAAATGACTTAGAGACTTCTTAACAGACACGCTCGTAACTCAAGACTGTGTGTCGGGTGTCGAGAAGCATCGCAGAAAAGTATAGTGATGACGCTGCTGAAGGAGGCTCTACAGAAGGGCTTTGGCGACGGCTGCAACAAACACTAGAGCATTATATGAACTTTAGAAAACTCTACGAGGAATGAGCCGGAGTTGAGGATACTTCTACCACCTTCTACCACTACTACAGCCTTCAACTCTTACCGTGACAACCTTCTGCGTGAGGGAGGGATGCCAATGATAATCCTGAAGTTGAAGCGCCACCTGGAGCCAGTAGGGAGTTAGCACCACCACCTCGTCCTTCTGATACCTCTGCCACGCCCCTCCTCCAGGTGACACAGGTACTGCCTTACTGCCCAGCCCAAGCAGAAGCAGTGGGAAAACCAGCAGAAGGGAGCAGCACGGAGAAGGGCACAAAGTCGCTTATCTCGAGAAACTTCCCCTCTTCCTCCTCCTCATCTGGCAGTTATATCTCATGGACTCTCTATTAATTCCGGGGTGTGTTATAGTCTTCGTTTAATGTGTAGGATTTGAGCTTTGTGGTGATACAAGAATGACTAGTTTCTCTCTCTCTCTCTCTCTCTCTCTCTCTCTCTCTCTCTCTGCCTCCGTCTTAACACCCACCACGTAGTTAAAGTGGGGGTCTTA